CTAGCTATTTGGCATAATTACATTAATTGAATGTTAATTAAATTACCAGGGAGTAAGTATTTGATCATTATAACTTGTAATTATTGAAATACAAGTTCTAGCTATTTGGCATAATTACATTAATTGAATGTTAATTAAATTACCAGGGAGTAAGTATTTGATCATTATAACTTGTAATTATTGAAATACAAGTTCTAGCTATTTGGCATAATTACATTAATTGAATGTTAATTAAATTACCAGGGAGTAAGTATTTGATCATTATAACTTGCAATTATTAAAACACAAGTTCTAACTACTTGTCATCATTATATTAATTGAATTTAAATTAAATTATCAGTTCGTAAGTATCAGAACATTCTAATTTGCAATTATTAAAATACAAGTTCTAGCTATTTGGAATAATTATATTAATTGAATTTTAATTAAATTACCAGTGAGTAAGTATTTGAATATTCTGATTTCAATCATTTAAGTACGAGTTCTAGCTACTTTAAAAACCAATTAAACAAATAAAATTTATTTAATGACCGAAGAAATATCATCGAATCGTAAGTGCTGTATTTTAATATAATCTTAGGCATTTAAATCAAATATAACACAGGCTTTCTACTTAACTGATAAATTTTAGATCGTAAGTGCATTAACATTTTGATCCCTAAATTGAGATGCAGGCTCTCGGGTATTTAATCTAAATATTCTTTCTACTGAATTATCAGATCGTAAGTATTTAAATTTCCATTTTAAAACCCAAGCTTTGGTCATTAAATAAATATATTTATTTATAATAAATAAAATTTTAATCGATTTTTTTAACTACAGTATCTATTCGTAAGTATTTTTAACTTTGCGATCCTTAATAATATATAAGCCTGGGGATATTTAAAACAATTCTAATGTATGAAAATAAATTTACTTAACCGTTATTAATTTACCAGTGTGTAAGTTTAACATTTCAAGTCAACTTACATTCAAACATTACTTTAATAAAAATTAAAATGTTTATAATATAAATATACAATATATTACTAGACCGTAAGTATTTTAACATTTTGGAATACGAGTTTCTTGCAAGTTCATGTTTTGAATAGAAATTCTATCTATTTAAATATGAATTCTATACAATACTTTATAATTAATCTTTGTTATATATTGGCAGGTAAGCAATTAAACAGTAACATTTCTAATCTCACATCAAATATAACTGAGATTTTAATTGGATTATAATTAAACTGTTAGGACGTATGTAATTGCCGCTCGTATGCACATTAAATTTAAGAAAATCCCAACAATTAACATTAATTTGATATCAAAAATTGACAAAGCTTGTAAGTATTTCCTTGATAAGTTTGGCTTAGTACTGTATTATTTATTAAATAAAATTTGATTCCATTTATTATCAACCACTAGTTTGTAAGCGATTGCCTAGTTAATCTTTAGTAATTAAAAATAAATACAAGATTAATTAATATTACTTTGCTCAACAATTAGTCCGTAAGTAACTAAATGTACTGCTTTATAATACTAAATAATTAATCGTTGTTCGTTAATTTAACATCAATATGTTACTATACTCGGCCGTTAACAGGTGAGTCTGTATGTTTTTATTCGCAAAAATTTAAAGTATACATTTTATTAATTAATATTAAAATTTTTTGAAAATAGCAAGTAAGTATATAATTGCAACTTTTGAAGAGAGTTTCATGCAATATAATTAAATTATATTCCAACTTTTATATTAGTGAGTGAGTATTGAGTGTTGGGTTACATAAATTTATATGCGCAATATTATATATAAAATTTAACTTTAAAATAACTCTATCCTTATTTATTCTAGAATGTACGTATTGGTGCTCATTTATAAAGGTTATATTAAATTTTAATAGTAATATAATTTATTTTATATTATATATAGCGAGTAAGTATTTGAATTCTAATATGAAAAATTAAGTCTATTATCAGTATAACCAGATGGCATTTTATAATTGACTATTTATTAACCATAGCGTGTGAGTATTCGAGTATTTGAATTCATAATGATTTTTGAACCACGTGTTAGCATTCTATTTACCATACCTTATCAAATAATCTTTCCTTATTAGAAGGTAAGTAAATTAATGGCTTCTAAAATATATGTTTTCAAATAAAATAAACTTCTCAAATTAACCATCAAAACAACATAGAGGGTAATTATTTATCATAGTTTTATAAAGTATACACACTCACTTGATTGAAATACATATTATCACATATTTTACCGTTAGAGTGTAAGTTATATCACTTGATTATGAAGTTTATCTTGCTATTGTAAAAACCTATCATTTAACATATTTAATTAATATAGCTCGTGAGTATTTGAACTTTATATTCGGCATAATTATCTTAAACATAAACCTTCGGTTAATTAATGAACGCAACTAAATAATACTTAAATAATAATTCTTTGATTACTAGTCGGTAAGTACGAGATTATTAATGGTTAACCAACTCACGGTTATTATTATGATACCTCTTTAATTAACATTTAATTAAACTATTAGCTTGTAAGCACTTTGTATTTTGTAATTATAATTTTTGAAACACGTGCTTTTAGGAAACTTATGTAACATTAATTTTGTTCACTAAGACGGTAAGACTATTTGATTTATAATTATTTGTAAATTTATTTAAAAAATTGACTAACAATGAGTAATTCAAATGATATTAGGGGGTAAGAGCACTATTCAATGGTTTAAATTATTGTCATTGTTGAATGTTGGCTTTTGATATCAGAATTAAATAAATTAATATCGTAAACCATTAGCAAGTGAGTATACAAATAATTCGATCCATTAATAAGCCGGATAGATTTATGTTATATATTAAACGTTTTTAATTAATAAAATCCAGACTGTAAGTAATTTTGTGTTGTATTATATATATATTTAAAAAACCCACTAATTTGAATAAAAATTAATTTTATTAGACTGTGAGTATGAAAAATAATCTCTAATTTCAACTTTTAAGTATCTAACAAGGAACATTTTTCTGATGAATTAGAAAGTAAGTATTTGTACATTAAAATTAAAAATTGTCATAATATATGCTTTGATTAATTTGTATTAAATTATAAATTCTTTGATCGGTACCATCCTTCAGACTGTGAGTATCCATCTACCATATTGAAAACTAAAAAATTTCAGCCAAATCAAATATTAATATGTACTTCACTAACTCTATTATTAAATCAAATAGACGGTAAATGTTTGTAAATAATTGTCTTCAAATAATAGTCCTTTTAACTAAATAGAAGTAAAATTTGTTTATCAGAGAGTAAGAGTTTCCACAATATATATCGAAATTTTGTTTTCAAAATAAAGTTTAAATCAGGATTCTCTTGATTTTAGACTGTAAGTATTTGAAAATTTGAAAGCGTAGATTATAAAATGAGAGTCTATCTAATTAGTTATCGAATAACCTAATCGATTATTAGTGAGTGAGTATTTGAGCATTTATATTCATAATAATTTGAATTCGGAATTATCATAAAGTTCCAATTAAATATGATGAAATAATACTTAATGGTTACCTGTTAGAATGTAAGTGTTATAAACTTTAGAAATTTGATACAATTATCGCAAAAACCTTAATATTAAAATTCTTTGGTCTACTTTTAGGGAGTGAGTGTTTAATGATTATCAAAAATATTAATTAATTTATTGAGTACTATAATTTAACTATTCGTTGAATCATTAGCGCGTAAGTATTTCTATTAATGTAGGAAAATTAAACTAAACAAAGAGTTTGAATGTAGCTGATAAAACGTTTCGTGTTTATATGGTTAGATGGCGTGAAGTTTACATTAAACGTCTAGAAAGCGAATTTAAAGACTGGACTAGCGGCAACAAAGAAATTGATGTGTTTATCCGGAAAAATCAACTTAAAGCATTGCTTCATACAGAAGTTATCGAGTGGATTCCTTATAATCGATTTCAGAGAGTTGAATATCTTGCAGCGGGCGGTTTCGGAAAAATCTATACAGCAACTTGGATTGACGGTTATATTGCATATTGGAATTTTTCTGATGAAAAATGGACAAGACAAGATAATAACGAAATATATTGTTTAAAGAGCCTGGATAATTCATCGAATAATATAAAGAAATTTTTACAAGAGGTATTTCTTTCTCCATATGCTGTATGTTATATATTTAAAATTTATCTGATCCCTCGATATTTTTAGATCGAAAATCAACTCAAATTTAGAGGGAAACGAGCAATTTCGATGCATGGAATAACAAGAGATCAAGAGGGAAATTACATGATGGTTATGCAATACGCAAAAGAAGGAAGCCTTAGAGAGATGCTAAATAGAAAATATCACACATTAAGCTGGAATCGTAAAATAACAATTTTGAGTAGGATCGCGCAATGTCTTAAAGAAATCCACGATGCTAAATTAGTCCATAAAGATCTCCATTCCGGCAACATTGTAATGCAGGATTCATCTAGACCATTTATCACTGATTTCGGCCTTTGCAAACCAGTGAGTCAAGAATCGACTTCAAAAATCTACGGCGTTATTCCATTTATGGCACCCGAGGTTTTAAAAGAAAATAAATACACCGAAGCGTCAGATATTTTTTCCTTTGGTGTTATTATGTCTGAAGTGTTAACTGGGTATCCACCCCACCATGATGTTCCGCACAATGATGATCTAGTAATGCATATTGTTCATGGTCTCCGTCCAAAAATTAGATGTGAAATCCCTCAACTACTGTTAGATTTAATGAATAGATGCTTAGATGTCAATTCTCTAAAACGACCAACTGCAGCCCAATTAGTCAAAGATTTAGAGAAATATGCCATGGATACCGATAGAAAATTGGGTTTTTATGTTCATTCACCTGAAATAGTTAAGCAAATCAAAGAAATCGAGAGAGTTAAGAGAACATCAGGATTCTATTCAAGAAATTCCTGTTCTTATATTACGCATCCAGAGTCTTGCTATACAAGCCGTCTCATCAATCAGAAACATATTTAAACTGTGTTTAAGAGGTATTTCGTAAATAGTTACTGTAAATTGGGATTTATTGCAGATTGACTAAAGTTACAGTATATGTATTAATTTATTAGATTCTGTTTCGTCAATCTGAAATGAAAAATCGGCTATCTTTATTACATTATCTTTAAGCCATTAAGAATATTCTGCTAACGTGAAATATTTCGAATAGTTGTTATAAAAATGAATTTTATTATTTACACTAAATTTATCATTATATTATTATTACATTTCCATAAATTTTTTTAAATCTTTTGGTTCTATATTGATTTAACATCTATAGTTCTTATATTATCATATTCATGCATTGTATTACAATATCATAATAAATTTATATAGGAATTATAATAGAAAATTAAAAAATTGTTTATACTATTTAAAAAATCGTAAAAAAAAAAAACTAATGAAAAAACACAATAAATTGATTATTTCTGTCTGACTCCTGATATATTCCATTACAGTACAAGTATCTTTTTAAGATATTATCAGTAACTCGTTAGTAATAAATTACTTGTAAAAGGCTTTTTGAATAAAAAATATTTTGATTTTTATTAACAATTATAACTTAAATTTTTTTTAGAAATGTACAATATACAGTATGGTCAACTCTTGATAAAAGAAATAGTCCACATAAGCATTAATAAAGTAGTTACGATCATCGGGGTTTAGTTTACTCGATAACAGAAAGTCTGATACATGGGGTTTCAAAAAATTCAAAAAAAATTTTAAACATAAAAGCTATTACATATTAACCTTTTTATTTTATTAATCATATAAACTTTGCGTATTATGTAAATATGATTTAGACAACTAAATAAATATGCAGTGAAAGTATAACTAATTTTTTTAACATTTTATTATTAGCATTTATGGTTTATATTTTAGATGGCAATTTTTTTGATTTTGATTTTAACTTTAATATTTAAATTATTTTTAAAACTAGTGTTTTAACAAACAATTTATAATTAATCAACTATGTTTGTTATGTTTTAAATTACTTATATATTGAATTTTATTAATCTATATTAAATATTTAAAAACCATTTAAGCAAATAAAATTGATATTTAAAAAAATTAAATTTCATAATTATTATCATTAATTGATAATTGTGATTTTTGTAAAAGTTTTTATTTTATTATGTAAATTGACTTTAGTAGATTAAGTAAACTTATTTGCATTATAATTCTATCCATAACATTTGATTTTAATAAAGCTATTATATTATGATATATAGTTTTAAATAAGAGAATTTCATTTGAATTTAGTGAAAATTTTATTGAATATAAAGTTGTTATTAAAAATATATTTACTTAATTAATAGACCTGTGGGTCTGTAGTGTAGTGGTTAACACTCCACAGGTCAAATCACAAGATACCAGTTCAACTCCATGTGAGGATGGTTGAATAAGAATTAATATGGTATCTGGTGCCATAACTTGTTAAGTGCTGTTTCTCATAAAAAGCCATTTCATACACTGATCCAGTAAGCATTGAGATTTTAATTTTCAGAAAAAGACGTTGTGGCGCGATGATTATTTGGTTGGTGTTACAATGATCATTGTCAAGTTTGGTGCAATTACCAGTTCTATAAATAGGCCATTTCTCTTTTCTATAGTCCACGAGACTATAAAAGAAATATAATATGGAGAGCTACAAACTGGAAACTTTTCAGCAAAACTTTCTAACATGATCCTCTCTTCCGCAAGAGTGATGACTTGCCAGCAATACCCACCATTCTTACCTGTAGTGAAGGTACTTAGTTGGTAACAATTGTCAGAATAGAAGACTCTCCTTAAGACTTAGCCTGACTTTGAAAGAGTTGCGCCCTTTTAAATAAGCAGCTTATACTTGAAGCCTGGTATTATCTAAAAAGGATTGGATTATCAACTCCAGTTTAAAAGTATTGAAACAATTCCTGGACATAAGGTTCCATCTGTTTTTTCAAATAGTAATCCTTCAAGGTCACGTGTGCTAGAAAGAAAACTGGAAAATAACAGAGACACAGTACTCTGATAGATAATCTATATAGTGTTAAATAACTTTACTGAAAGGTTTACAAATTTGAGGCTGAAAGATGTAAAAGAAAATTTTAGGTGGCAGGCTGCACCCAGATGATTTACGCCTGTGGGTGGATTCTAGTATATATATGCATTTAGGATAGATTAACTTTGTATATACCTTGTATATAATGACCTATCTATTAATAAAGAAATGCGGACTAGAATACGATCTCACTTTAGCAATAAAAAAAAAAAAATAATAAATAAAAAAATAATTTATTGTGATAAATACATAATGTTATAAGATTAAAATAATTTTTTAATATAAAGTTATTATATAATTAATTATTAAAATTATATTATTAAAATTCTTTTTTATCATGTAAATATTAATATCAATTAAAATTAAAATTATATATATTTTTTTAATATTAGTTTTTTAAAAAAAAATTTTGGATCAACCTTCAATTGGACTTTATTAATAATTGTCTGAAGCAAAACAAATGACATTCCATGTTTATAATCCTTGATGAAAATAGAAATCACATGTGAATTCTTTCTATCACTCTTGTATAATGCATGGTTTTTTTTATGATTAACACATGATTATTAGCTTCGGACTTACAATGGTTTCCATTTCCTAGTTTATAATGATTTCTCGGCGATTTCGCAAAATTCGTTACTTGTCAATCATCATCTTCGATCATGTGACATACATACGATGGAAATTTCACTCGAAAGTACATCTGCACAGTCGCTGCACGGGGAGCATCTCAAAGTAGTAACTTAAACACGATGGACAGGACATAATTAGGAAATTTCACCTGAAAGCACACCTGCACAGATGCTGTACGGGAGCATTTTTCTGCTCGCAGTCACAAGGTGGCGCTATAATGTGTCTCTAAATTTTTCCGGCAAAGTGATTGACGCGGCAATCCATATTTGATTAACAAACGCATGGCACATGCTTTTTTCGTGCGACCTACCATAATAGATAAATCCCACATGCATTTCTGGACGAATAAAATAAGTGTATACATGTCATAGAACACGTCTTTTTAACACGCGTCTCTATAAAAAAAAACTGTTGAGTGCTTCATACCTATATAAGCAATATGTCTTCTTCGTCTTCTTCCTAATCTAGCGAAATTTACGTTGGCCGTAACGAGATAATTTCATATTTGACTGAATATACCTTATTTCCCGTTTCCAAGAAGTGATTGTTACTTCATCGTTGACCTTTTCAACTACTTTCTGCTGGAAAGACCTCGAAAATGCTTGGGCTACCGTTTTTTATATGAAGCGAGAAACATAGATAAATATAATTATGCAGAACTGGAGAATAAGGTGCGTTGTTTATTTATCTTGCAAAGTAGGGGTAACTTACTAGGCGAACTGAGGGATTCCTAGCTTGACTTAGAAGAATTACTGGATATGACAGTTTGGTAACCATTCCACGCTCTCTATTCAGATATCCTATCTTTGTTGTTAATAAAGGTCTGCTTTATTTTGGAGCAGAAACTAGCTATGGCTTCCTTTATTATTAGATTAATTCGCACTCTCCTGTTTATAATAGGTCAGGTCAGATACGAAATCAATTTGAAAGAATATTGAGGAGTAAATCAGGAATGTAACATGGTAGGATTGCATATAATTTGATCATACGATTTTGCGATGAGTCCTGGAAAACTTTGATCATGTGGATTAATATTCTATTATTCATAGAGGCGGGATATAATAAATCATAAAGCTGAAATAGAGCGGGTTCTTCAGAATCTCTCCGAGCCTATGAACAATTATGGATAAAGGAGGCTAGTTTATCCGAGCTTACAAACGAGTGGTGCAAGAATTTGATCGGTAATCTCAGCTCGAACCATAGCGATGCGGGAGATTTTGCTGAAAGTTTCGGAGCGGATGAGAATAATTCTTCATCCTTATCTGAAAGAGCATTAGATGAAGAATTATTATCCTTATCTAATGCTCTTTCAGAAGAGAATAATAATACTTTTGATGCTCCAATAGAAGTAGGGACACAGAATTCTCAGCGGAAAATTAATAGGAAAAGGAAAGATGTACCATCCTAAGCCGAGAATTCGATTTCCACGCACGAAGGGATGTTAATTATAATATTAGATCTTCATCGTAAAAACAAGCCCGTATGTATGCTCCTGAGATCTTTACGAATTAAGGGTTATTGATAGGTTCCACCGTCATCACCTTCTCCACTATCGTCATTACATTCTTCTCCACGACTTTCACCGATATCTCCATAGAGATAGGATTTGTAATCATAAATGCTCGTTACATTGCTTTACTGAAACTACACTATAAGTAATCGTTGATTTGTAAAAGGATAGGGTGATGGAAGATAGTGCACCTGATGTCGGGTAAAAAAAATCAAAAAAATAATTGTGTAGGGAAACATGTATACCATTTCTCAGCCATGCTATGTATCTTATATTCATTAATAATAATGCATTTTCGATTTTATTTTTCCATGTGATTTGCGTAACTTTACTGTGACAAGCTTGTCACACTTATTTTAATAAAAACAGTATTTTCGTAGGTTATAGAATAAAATCCGAGCCGAAAATAATCGCTAGTTGTCTCATCCTGATTGGGTATATACCTATTACCAATCAACGATTACTTACGTCTACCTCCCATACTTCTTTTTTTCTGCGAAAGTAGTGTTTCAAAATTTTTTACTTTAATTATTATATTTAGTGAAAAAGAATCTAATTTTATTTTTTTTATTTTTTTTTGGCACGCATGCGACTTCTTTATTAACTTTGTTATTAAAGTTAAGAATTTGTAATTTTATTTGAAAATAATTCATTAATTTAATATAATTATTATAATAAATATTTTTAATTTATAATTAATTTCACAAAATTAAAAATCAATTTTATAAAATTTATTTTAAAAAATTATTTTTCAATACAAATTATTTTAAATCATTTATAATAAATCATTTAATATAATTATACAAGACTTACAGTCTGGAACAAAAAAATCATCTAAAATTATAATTTTATTTTTATTAATAATTTAATAAGTAAATAATTAATTAATTAAAACAAAATTAAAAATTAAAAAAAAGCTCTCTTCTGATCACATCCGTTTTGTTAAAATTTTTCTTTTATGATAATTTTAAGCAAGAAAAAATGTTTTATACTTTTTATTGCAAGTGAGTCTAAACTCAAAAACTCAAGAACCTTTAAGACAACTGATGCAGTAGGATGGAACCTCTGGTCAAAGTCTACTCAAGTTTAGAAATCTTGCTTATCCTTCAGTTACATAAGGAAAGGCTTGTGGCAGTTTTCTTTTCTTTTGTTCTTTTGCAACCCTCCTTTCTTTTATTATATTACAAAAACTATCTATATCAATATTATTATACTTATCAAATCAAACACTTTTTCAAAAACATACTTAAACAAAATGTTGGATCTATTGTTTGTTTTAATACAACCTTTATACATAACTTTACCATGACACTATTTACTGTGCCATTTCAAAATTTCCAAAAAATTTTTTTCAAAAAACTAAAATCAGTTTACTTTCTCCAAATAATTGTTGCTCTTCAATCATCCAATCAAATTTTGTCAAAACAACAAAGAAAAAACCAAACCTGTTCAAATTAGTTTTTTAACATAACAACAACAACTACTACTATTACAACAACAAATAATGTCAATTATACTGTATTATTCATGTCAACAAAGATCATGTCTCTAAGATCAGTGCCAGTACAAGGGTTGAACAATTGGTCACATTTTAGATATTTTTTTTGTTTATATAGATCTTATAGTTCAAGCAACTTAATTTTAGTTTTAGAAGTCAATGTTATTGTAGTTCCAGTTTATTTTTCTTTTCATTTTTTTTCCATTTCCTATTCTTTTTACATCTAATCAAAAAATTCTGAGTAAGTAAGTATAGTTGCTTTTAATTATATTTAGCATATATAATATTGTTTTAAATTCTTTTTGATATTAGTTAGATATAAATGTGTAGACAAGCTAGCATTAAACTTGTTATATGCTTTGCATTCAAGAGATGTTGTTTTTTTCACAAGTGTATATAGTTTTATAGTATAATATTAATAAATAAAAAAATAATATTTACTTATCAGAAAAAAAAAATTAATTAAAACAAAATATATACAGTATATTTATTTATTTAAAGATATAAAGAATAAAAATATATCAAAATATTAGGGTTCAATGTATTATTGTATTTATAAATTAATAAATATACAAAATTACAGTCTGATTAGAAGCAAATATATATTTATATATAGTTCCTCCCAATAAATGAAAGATTATTGTTATTAAAATTTTTGAAAATTTTATTAACTTTGAATAGATACAACCATTTTTTTTTCAACTAGCGAGGCCTTGCCCAACATACTTTATTTAGTTTACATGTGTATTTCTTGTTACAAGACTTA